TTGACTACTCTGTTTATCTATTTTAATTTCCCTTTTTGTCCTAAGGGAAAGTGTTGATTGGTGGTGCAAGGGCGAATGTAACACGTAAGGACAGCGTAAGAAAGGAAGCAATGATACAGCAATCCCTACGACAGGCCTCCCGCTCCAGACTAAGGAAAAGGAGCACAAATCAGAACATATTTGGTGAATATAGTTTTGGGATTTTTCGCCTCCATCAATTTTTTTAAGACTTATTATTATTTTTTATTGGAAAGTCAGATATACAGAGAGCAGGAGAGACAGAGAGGAAGATCTTCTGTCTGAGGATTCACTCCCTAAGTGACCATAAAGGCCGGTGCCACGCCGATCCTAAGCCAGGAGTCAGCTTCCTCCACACGTGGGTGCAGGGTCCCAAGGCTTTGGGCCGTTCTCCACTACTTTCCCAGGCCACAAGCAGGGAGCTGGATGGGAAGCGGAGCTGCTGGGATTAGAACTGGCACCCATATGGGATCCCAGCGCATTTAAGGCGAGGACTTTAGCCACTAAGCCACTGCGCCGGGCCCAGTTTTTTGCCTTTAGAATTTTTCAATGCTTCTAATCTTCAACTGTCAACATCCTGTACATTTAAAAAATTTATGTATTTTTTTATTGGAATGTTAGACTTACAGTTAAGGAGAAACAGTGAGAAAGATCTTCAATCTGCTGGTTTACTCCCTAAGTGGTCACAACGGCCAGAGCTAAGCTGAGCTGATCTGGGGCCAGGACCTAGGAACTTCTTCTGGGTCTTTCCCAGGACACAAGCATGAAGCTGGATGGGAAGTGGAGCAGCTGGGATATGAACCAGTACCCATATGGAATCCTGGTGCATTTAAGGTGAGGACTTTAGCCAATAGGCTACAGACCCAGGCCGAAAATCCTGTGCATTTCTCAAAGTTCAAGTGCATCTTTTATTACAAGGCAGCCCAGAGGCCATTAATATCATAATATCTATTCTTTGCATTTTGATGGCAAATTTTATTTGACTTAAAGTAGGCCACTCAATGCTGCCTTCTGCTGTGGTTGTTTGCTATCTTTGATCTTAGTGGAGAAGCACTGGGAAAGCTGAAGCTTTGTTAACGGTTCCTCTCGAATATAGCACAACTCAGCTGCTCCACTTCACTGTACTTGTGTCAATAACTTCCCTGCAGATGACTGCAGGCAGCTTCTCAAGCACCTCGAGAGGATCACTTGGTTCATGGAATGATTTATATATGAAGTACATAAGCTTAATTTACCCATCCAATATCTCCGAGTCAGTGAGCTAACTGATACAAACTAAGATTTGAGTATTATTAATTCATTACAATGAAGACATTTTATACGCCGTGGGGCTGCATATTTTTACAATGTTCTGTTTCTTACTTAACAGCCAAGGCTATTTACTTTTATTTTAAAAACAATATGTGTTTGTTTACTTTTTGTTTAAGAGGCAGAGTGACAGAGACAGAAGTCTTCACTCGCTGGTTCACATCTGAAATGATCATAAAGGCTGGGGCGAGGGAGGCCAAAGGCAGCATCCCAAAACTCCATTCAGGTCTCCCACGGGGGTAAGTGGGGCCCAAGCACTTGGACCAACTCTCCCAAGAGCATTAGCAGGGAGTTGGATCGGCAATAGCGCAGCTGGGATTCGAACTTGTGTCCATCAGTATCACAGGCAGTGGCTTCACTCACGCTGCCATAATGCGGCCCTTCCCCCCTTTATTTTAATGCTTACATTCTATAGAGAAGATTGACAGCAGGCTGCTAGCATCTGCTTTTTAAACAAAAGGATTGAGAAGACAGTGACAATGAGTACAAGTGGCATTGTGGAAAGGAACGGCAAGCAAAAACAGCAAAATAGTCCCATGCTGTTAGGGAAGGAAAAAGTTGCTCTAGAGGGGATTAAAATAGTCCTGGGGTTTTCTAGAAAGAAGATAGGCAAGGGTAGGACAACAGGAACGTGTACAGCTTCTGTCCCCAAGCTGCTTCCATCCTTTGGGTCCATGTGATTTCTTAGCACACCCACTGCTTGCACAACTCTCATATATGTGATTAAATGGCCAGAGCTTTTCTCCAAAACATGCCTTTTGCAGTTGTCTTCATGAACAGATATCATGCACTCTGTAAAATGTTTTTTCTTTTTTAATAATAAATTCATTTTATTTTTGATGATGTGGACCACCAATCAGGGCGGTGAGAGTTGAGGAATGGGAAAAAGTGGGTGAGAAAACTACCTCCATCCTTGTTCTTTTTGGTATCTGGGAAAGGTTGAGAGGAGAGGGTCACTCCCAGCAACCCAACCATGTCAGTGCCCAGGAGCGGGGAAGGCCACCCAATGTCATCCAGGGTCTCTGATGTGCAGCATGCTTCAAGGACACTGCTTAAGCAGTTCTGTGATAGTTCTGAGATGCTGTTGATTTCCTGGCTCCAAGGTTGAGGAAATCCTTCCAAGGTCCACTGGCTGCACTGGCTCATAAACACACGAGGAAATAAACATGTGGCATAAACACATGCCGAGTCACCCATCATTGAATTTAATGTCAATTAAAACACCAACACTAAACAAAATTCAGCAATTGACTTGGAGGCAAATGAGAAATGTTTTCATTTTAATATATTAATTTAAAAATATTTACTTATTTGAAGGCAGAGAGAGAGTGTGCTTGAAGAAAGTAAAACTCCGCACCTGCTGGTTCACACCCCAGATGCCGACAACAGCTAGGGCTGAGCCAGGCCTGAAGTTAGGAGCTGGGAACCAAACAGACGTCCCTTGTGAGTGACAGGGACCCAAGCACTGGTGTCATCACCACCTACTGCCTCCCAAGTAAACATTAGCAAGGAATTGGGATTGAACCGAGGCATTGGCCCAAAGGAGGCAGACGTCCCAACTGTGACCCCAACTGACTCCCCTCAATGCTAACCACTAGAAAATGTCTTGATTTTATTGAAGAAACCACAAGATTATGAAATGACATTACTGGATCTTTTTTTTCCAAAAACTTATATCATAAGTTACTTATTAGCAAGTTCAGAGAAAATGTTAAGTGTTGTTAGGAAAAATTAAAAATCTTCAAAAGAAGACAAAAAGATAATGGCTTTGTAGCATGCTGTTAATGCAGGAGTGCAGAACACAGCTCATGGGCCCTCTCTGCTCACTTTACAGATAAGAACGGGCCAGGGGTTTCGAAGCGATTTGTCCCAGGTAACCCAGGCCGTCACATTAGCTCATAGACTTTGATTCCTCAGTTTGCATGAGGATAAAGTTGAGTTCTTTTGAAAATGTTCCTTTGGGGTTTATGTTGTGCCAGAGCAGTCTAAACTGCCTCTTTTTCCCCCTTTAAAGATTTATTTTATTGGAAAGTTAGATTTATAGAGAGAAGTAGAGAGAGAGAGAAATACGCTATTTCACTCACCAAGTAGCCACAATGGCTGAAGCTGAGCCAATTTGAAGCCAAGAACTGGCAGCTTCTTCTGGGTCTCCTGTGTGTGTAAAGGGGCCTGAGGACTTGAGTCACCCTCCGCCTCTTTTCTAGGTCACAATCATGGAGTTGGATGGGGACTGGAGTAGCTGGGACATGAACCATGATCTATATGGGATGCTGACATTGCAGGTGCAAGCATAGTGTACTAATCCACAGCACTAGTCCAGCTGAATCACCTTAATTTTAACCACATCGTACAACTTTATCTTGAGGTACTGGGAAAATTCCTTATATACTGGCTATAGTTGAGATTTTTTAAGAAATCATAATCAGACTGCCAAGGTAAAATGAGAAATGGAGGAGGAGGACCAGGCTCAGGAGATCACTGCACGGAGCAGAAGAGGGTCAGAGAGGTCTGACAGGCTCTAAGGCTTTGGCTACCCTGTGTTTACTTTCCTGTTAATGTCTGTGCATTCAATCTGCTTGTTTCCTTAGATTATAACACAAGGTACACAGCATAGCATCTTTCATAATCTGCCCCTGAGTATCTAAGAATCTTGGGCCCAAGTGAATAGACTGAGGCAGTTGTATCTGGCATCACATGCCCCGAGCTCCCCAGGAAGCGCAGCCACCCTGCAGGCTGGCTAATGACCTGAGGAAGCTTTGTCATTTAAGGGGATGACCCAGATGATCTAAGAGGATGAACCAGGCTGGAAGTGAAAGGATGCATACAAACATGCCTACAGACAGAGGGTCAGAAGCAAGTTAATGAACAAGCAGAAGCTTAGGGAAAAAGCAGCTACACTACAGAGGGAACGAGCCATGCCCGGGGGCCTTGTGTCCAGGCTAGCCCACGGAGACTTGTGTATTCTCCACTCTCTACAGAGTTACTTACAATTCCTATGTTCCTGACCTTTCATCCAAATCTGTCATTCTTTTCTTCCTTCCTTCCTTCTTCCCTCCCTCCCTCCCTTCCTAAGATTTATTTATTTTTACTGGAAAGACATATTTATAGAGAGAGGGAGAGTCAGAGAGAAAGATCTTGCATCCGCTGGTTTACTCCCCAAGTGGCTGCAACAGCTGGAGCTGATCTGATCTGAGCCAGGAGCCAGGAGCTTTCTCCAGGTCTCCCACATGGGTATAGGGTCTCAAGGTTTTGGGCCGTTCTTGACTGCTTCCCCAGGCCACAAGCAGGGAGCTGGATGAGAAGGTGAGCACACGGAATAGGAACTGGTGTCTATATGGGATTCTAGGGGTTGAAAGGCAAAGATTCAGCCACTGAACCATTGCACTGAGCCCCATATATGTGTGTGTATATATATATATATATTTTTTTTTTTTTGACAAATTTGTGTGTGCATACATTTCTACCTGAGGTAAATGCTAGATTTAGGACAATCTCTGGTCAAGTCTAGAAACAAAACCTATTAATGGAAACATAGATATAGCAAAGGGATTACTGCAGATTTGTTAAGGTCCTTTTATGAAACGAATAAAGTTAATCTATAATAGATCTGAAAGAGAGGACAAAATTTAAGTCAAGCATATTTAGTCAAAATCAGCAAGTAAAAGTGTACTTACAAAGAGTGTTGGCTTGGGTATAAATACATTGTCTTCATGTTCCCTGGGCGCATTCAAAGTCTGTGATTTCTGATTTTCTGGTTCATTTTTTGATTCTGTTTTAGTCAGAACTAAGCTGTTCTGAGCATGTTTACTACGCATATTAAGCAGAATCTGCTTCATGGCTGCCAATTCCTGTTGATACATGAAAACACAAGAAAACGGCAAATGTGATTTTGGCAAGCATGTTAATAATGACTGATGCTAAAATACTTGTTTTTATTTAAGTATAAGAAATATCTGAGGCAATTATACGACACCAATGAATAAACCTGTGAAAACAATGAAGTATTAATGTACCCTGATCATGCACCTGCTCTTACACCCATCAGTAAGCACTGTATCCCTTTAGTACAACTGCCATACAGTGGCTTCAAATCTTATTTTTAAATTTCGTTTTTGATATTTATATATCTGAGAAGGACTGATGCCCGAGCAGATCACTGGCTAGGGTAGGAAGGGCAAAGTGAGGTAAAGTGGATGAGACAATTGTTCCCAATTTTTTTCTTCCTGTATCTGGAGGAAGGGAGAAGAGCAGAGGAAAGAGCTGCTGCCAGCAATTAACTGCCAGATTTTCGGGTACACAGGAGTCACTGTGGTGCTTCAGAAACTACCAGTAGAGTCTTTGTCCCACCCAAGGGCATGGCACACTCGGCAGGGAATGTATGGTCTGGGTTTTGGAATATCACAACATCTCAGGTGATTTCAATGGACAGACAGGTCGGGGAACTACTCCTGGAGAGGCAATGGAATTAAAAGACACAATTACTTTAATACGAATTTTTTTTTAAAGAGGAAAAGGAATTTTGTAGCAGCTGACCTCTGAACCCCTTCTCTCTTTCATTTTTAAAGATTTATTTATTTTTTATTAGAAAGTCAGATATACAGAGAGGAGAAGAGACAGTAAGATCTTCGATCCATTGATTCATGCCGCAAGTGGCTACAACAGTGGATGTTGAGCCAATCCGAAGCCAGGAGCCAGGAGTTTCTTCCGGGTCTCCCATGTGGGTGCAGGTCCCAAGGCTTTGGGCTGTCCTCAACTCTTTTCCAGGCCATAAGCAGGGAGCTGGATGGGAAGCAGGGCTGCCGGGTTAAAACTGGTGCGCATATGGGATCCCGGCACATTCAGGTCGAGGATTTGAGCTGCTAGGCCATGACGCCAGGCCCTGGTTTGCCTTCAGTGTGACTACAGGAGCTGGGGCTGAGCAGGGCTGAAGGCAGGAGCCTAGAATTCTATGCACGTTTCCCATGTAGATGGCAGGAGCTCAGTCACTGCACTATCCTCTGCTGTCTCAGCATACACTAGCAGCAAGTCAGGTCATCCATCACTAAGTCTGCGGGCAATTGAACCTAGGCGCACTGAGACGCGGATGTGTCAAGAGGTGGCTTAACCTGCATGCCACACTCATTCCTGGTGCAGAAACATGCACACAAGAGGTCTTCACAAATTAGTGGGGAAAATCTGTGTTGTGAAAAAATTATGCATGATGGGCCCAGCGGCGTGGCCTAATGACTAAAGCCCTTGCCTTGAACACACTGGGATCTCATGTGGGCGCTGGTTCTAATCCCGGCAGCTCCACTTCCCATCCAGCTCCCTGCTTGTGGCCTGGGAAAGTAGTCGAGGACAGCCCAATGCCTTAGGATACTGCGCCTGTGTGGGAGACCTGGAATAAGTTCCTGGCTCCTGGCTCCTGGCTCTGGATTGGTGCAGCACCGGTGTTGTGGTTACTTGGGGAGTGAATCATCGGATGGAAGATCTTCCTCTCTATATCTCCTCCTCCGTGTATACCTGGCTTTGTAATAAAAATAAATAAATCTTTAAAATAAAAAAATTCTGCATGTATGTTAAAATTTTTTTTGCACCAAATACACTTATCTTTTAATTTCACCTTTTTCACATTTTTGGAGTACACTCATTTAGATAGATTATTTAGATATTTTTTCCTCTTCTCTGACTTAAACTGTCCAATTATCTTTATGAAGTCTTATATAAAGATGGTGGAGAAAATGGATCCAAATCTTTTTTCTTGGCAAGTGACCAGAAGTTTAAACAGCGAGTCTAAAATAACTACAGAACCTCTTAGGGCATATTATCCCCTTATGCTTTTATGGATAGTAAGTGGAGTTGGCTTCAGTTGCCTTTTGAGCAAACAAATAATTATGCTGAACTTTTTCTAAGAATTCAGATAAAAATTTTCACCCATTCCTCCTTCCAAGTCTATTTTGTCTGTTATTTTTTTTCCCCTATGACCAACTCCTAATATCTAACTAGCAGATATTTATGACTAATTATGAGATAGATTTCCTAAACACAAGCGGGCACAGAGCTGACAGACAAAGCGCTCCTTTACCTTATCTGTGCAACAGGTCATTTTCCTCCTGTTTATTTCATCCTCTTGTCAAGACACAGAAGTTACAGAAAGATGTTTTGCTCCCTTCTGCTAATCTGTTTATAGACATCAGCTCTGTGTCAGAGCAAGTTCCTACAGGCCTTTCTTTTCTGGCTGTCATTAGTTCTATTTAGAACCATCGAGCTTGAGTGTGTATTTTAAAACGGAGCTGCTGAATTGAAGCCACATGGCTTTAACAGACTTTAAGAGCAGGAAAGGGGCTGCAAGCAATGGTGTCAGGATTCTGCGGGATGGGGTTGTCTTGGCCATTTAGATACGGACATGTACTCCTGTAGACGACACCTATCTGACATACTGTTATGAAACCCTCCTCCCTTTGATTCGCTTGGGCTTTGCCCTTTCCCTGCTCCTTCACAGACGCTTCTTTAACACGAGTGTGTTGACCGTTCGGCTAGGACACTCTCTTCCTACCTCTGCCCCCGCTCACCTGTTCTATACTCTGATTATCTTCGTTTTCTCTGTTCATCACTGTTCCCTCGCAAAAAAGGTCCTAGAAAAGCCAACGTTCCTCCCTATTGCCTAGGTTTTTGAGATAAAGCTCTAAATCTTTAAAAAAAAAAAAATGGCTTAAGATGGCTTTCCTATGGAAACAACATAATGTACTCAAATGAACTTTTGTCTTTCTCTATAGAAAGTATCTTTATTATGTTCTAAACTCCCATTCTGTATCATTTGTTCTGGACTTTAAACTCTGTTCAACGGTCTGTCTGTTCATGTGCCATGTCACCCTGTTTTAGTGTTTAATGACTGAGATTTCCTCCCCCTAGCTACATGCTTGGAGGTGAGGTCAGGGGAATTGTGCTGAATTATAAAAATACAGTTAAGATCTGACTTGCTTGTGAAGTTGAGTTTTCCCAGCTATCAAAGTATTTTAATTTATCTTTCACCTGTATTTCTGGCATAGGTTGTTTAGCTCTAGTTGAAGAAATGACTACAATGAAATGAGCATGATTCATGAGATCTAAATCTAAAAACTGACAAAACCAACAATAAATAAACAAGAAAAATATGCAAGACACAGAAATCATTGTTGGGGCTGGCATGCTGGCTCAGCGGGCCAATCCTCCACCTTTCAGAACCAGCATCCCTTCTGGGTGCTTGTTTGTGTCCTGGCAGCTCCACTTCCCATCTAATTCTTAGCTTGTGGCCTAAGAAAGCAGAGGAGGATGGCCAAAAGTCTTGGGATTCAGCACCCACGGAGGAGACCTGGAGGAAGCTTCTGGCTCCTGGCTTTGGATTGGTGCAGCTCTGGCTGTTCTGGCTACTTGGGGCGTGAACCAGTGGAAGGAGGAGCTTTCTGTGTCTGTAAATCTGTCATTCCAATAAAAATAAATAAACCTTTAATAAAAAAAAAGGAAAAGAAATTATCATTGTCACTTCAAAACTGATTTTAAGTAAAATGAAATCATCCTGAAATCGAGTTTGTTTGGAACCAGGTTTCAGTTATTTTGTGTCTGTCTCCTAGTTGTTGGCTCCCTCTATTATAAAAAATTCTAAATTTATTTTAAAATTGTCTTAACTGAATTATCTATGTAAAGGGAACAGATTTCATATATAGTTATTTTTAAAGATTTATTTATTCTTATTACAATGTCAGATATACAGAGAGCAGGAGAGACAGAGATAAAGATCTTCCATCTGATGATTCACTCTCTAAGTGACCGCAACGGCTGGTGCTGTACCAACCCGAAGGCAGGAGCCAGGAGCTCTTCCAGGTCTCCCACATGGGAGCAGGGTCTCAAGGCTTTGGGCCATCTTTGACTGCTTTCCCAGCCAATAAGCAGGGAGCTGGATGAGAAGTGGAGGTGCTGGGATTAGAACCGGCGCCCATGTGGGATCCCGGTGCATTCAAGGCAAGTCTTAGAAGCTAGGCCACTATGTCGGGCCCAGATTTCATATATAGTTTTAAGGCCATAATAGTATTCGCTATCCACACTCCTCCTTCTTTTAGTTTTTTGACTTTGTTTTTGCATTTAACTTCTTTACTCTTTGATTCTGTTTCTTTTACAACTAGCCTTGGATCACCAGTCTGTAAGTTTATTTGTAATACTGTCTAAGGATCTGTAAATACTGCTCATTGTACAGAGGGTTGATTAAATACAAAAATGAAACCTATGATGGTCAAAGAATTTAATGTCCAAAGTATCAAGTTCAACTGGGTTGCTTTTCTTACAGTTCGCTGATTGCTCAAAATCATGCCATTTACTTAGGCTTCTATTTGATTTTCAAATTAGAGAAAAATTCCCCCCCCTCTTCTCAGTTTCTTTTTTCTTTGTCATCAATAAAACAATGCATGTATGCCCTTTATAATCTAGCCACTTAGAAAAAAAGCTAACTTGGGGTCAGTGTGGTGGCTCAGGTAGCCAATTCTCCAAGTGCAAGCTCTGGCATCCCTTTGGCCTCTGGTTTGTCTCAGCTGCTTCACTTCTGATGCAGCTCTTTGTTTTTGGTCTGGGAAAGCAGCAGAGGATGGCCCAAGTCCATGGCACCCTGTACCTGCGCGGGAGACCTGCAAGAGGCTCCTGGCTCCTGGTTTCAGATCAGCTCAGCTCCAGCTGTTGCAGCTGCTTGGGGAGTGAATCAAAAAACAGAAGATCTTCCTCTCTCTCTTCTCTGTATATCTAACTTTGCAATTGAAGACAAATAAATCTTAAAAAAAAAAAAAAGAAAAATAGAAAGTAAAGAGGGATGGAGAGATGGATTGAGGGAGAGAAGCAGATGGAT